AATTGTTTAGAACTGGGTATTGCTGTTGTGTCTATGAAACAGTAAAAAAAATGATAGTTTTATTTCCAGAAAATTAATTATTTCATTCCAAAATTCAACAACAATTGTGATATTCCTTTTAATGTGTGAAAGAGTGGGATTTTGATGGGCTTCCCTGTTGACACATAGGCAAATGTTCAGTTTTAGATAATGCGACTTGTAGATTTTAGCACATAACTTAACTAATATCACCTGTATATAAATAGAATTGGTGAATGGATGATCAGTAGAATGAGCACACATGACAATAGATTTAGTCATTGTAAGTCCAGCCTTCCTATATTAACAGAAATATGTCACCTAGAACAAAGATGATGCCTGCCCAATTCTCCCTGCAGTGTTCAGATGGTACCTAGTCTATTATATGTTGTTGTAGCTGTTATATATTGATAAGGGTATGACAGTCTCAATCACACGCAAAGGAACATAACCAGAATGACACAGTCTGGAAACCCCATTATATGAGGCATGGTTTATAGTACTAGAGATCTTACCTGGAGAAAAGAGATACCTGATGACATTTTGAGATTTGCATACCCAAGAGGGTTGATACTTACGCTACGTCAATTTCAGGAACATAAAAAGAAGCCACAGTTAGAGGAAGTTTAGGAACTCACTTTACAGATCTTTCCAAAAGAAAGGAATTTTTTTTTTAAACAGTTGAGCTTCTTATCAGAGAAAACGAACAAAATTAAAGGTATCCAAAGAATTTTTGCTTTTGGAAAGAAGCTTCATAATTCCAGTTGATTTTCAAAGTTTTCAAAGTTATTGTTACCATTGTTTTAATACAAATCCCCTGAGCCACAATCCATGCTTAGTGAAGCAGTCTCTAAGGAGATGTATCTGTTGTGGAGAAAAGGTTTTTGTTTGTTTTTAAGATTTATTTTTCACTTATTTGAAAAGCAGAAGGAAATACATATATATGATATATAATATATATACATATATATGAGAGACAGGGATATATATATATATGAGATATAGAAATACAGATAGATAATATATGTATATATATAATTGTAAAAGAGAGAGAGAGGGAGAGAAGGAGAGAGAATCTTCCATCTGTTGGTTCACTTCCCAAATTATAGCAATGACCAGGGCTGTACCAGGCCACAGTCAAGAGCCAGGAGCTTCTTCTGGGTCTCCCATGTGGATGCAGGGGCACAAGCACTTAGGCCATTTTCTGCTACTTTCCAAGGCACATTACCAGGGAGCTGGATCAGAAGTTGAGCAGCCATGGTCTCTAACTGGGATGATGGCATTGCAGCTGGTGGCTTAACTTGGTGCACCACAATGCTATCACCAAGAGGAAAGGTTTTAATAGAGAAAATAAAAGCTGCTGTAAAGATAGGTGACAAGAACAAAGAATGTAATTTTCACAGTTCCTGTTAAGATTACAGAGTATGGTGATACTAGAGTTCATATTATGAAGCATAATTACATAAGTTGTCTATAACATTTTTATTACACTAGCAAGGTGATTGAATCCAAATTTAAGTATTCTTAGAGGTTTTTTAAATCTTATTAATCATATTGTTAGGCCTCAATATTAGGAAACAGTTATGGTCAATCATCATGGGTTTTATTTTGTACACTAGAATCTATGATATCCCCCAAAGCTGGGATTATGAATAAATAAACAAGCAATTTCAACTCATAAAACTAGTTATATATTACAGCATTTCTTAAGGTTTTCTGAATTCAAATTTGACTTCAGTCGTTGAATTTACACAACCTTGGGCGAGGTTCATAGCTTTCTGTTCTGTAGTTTTACCTTCTACAAAGCGGGGACAGTTAAAACAAACTTCTTTTGGAATTTTGAAACCACTAGAAGTGTTCACAAGCTATTCCTGACTCATGGGGATTAACTGACAACTGTAAGTTGTCATGTGTATGATCTTGATCATTGTCATCATTAAATGCTTAGACGTCCAGAAGGAACGCTCCAGAGGAAGTAAAATCCCAGTTCACGGAGGATATTATTGTTTATGACTTGCATGGAAACTTTCGATATGGAAACCAACTGGGTTCCTGAAAGTCAAATAAAGACGTATCAAAAATTTAAAGTTGAAAGACAGCCTGGGGTTGGAGTAGAAACAAGAAGTAGAAATAATGTAGGATGTAGCAGTATTCCTAGCTTTGGGAATAAATGGCAGAGGTTTCTTCTCAAACTCAAGTAAAATATTGCTATAGTAATTTCCTTTCTCATCGCTTCTGTTCAGAAAACGTGTCCATATGTTGGAGTCTGTTTTAGTGAGGCATTTAACATATTTAATCATGCCTATGTAAGTTTTAATGAAAGTAAAATGATTTACCTAAGTCATAGAATCTACAGATTCTTTTTTTCAATCTTTAGATAGAGTAATGGTAATATCTTTGGGGAGAAAATATTTTCTTAATGTACATTCATAGATTGGTTTCCTTACTTTCACTTTTTTTACCTAATTGGTAAATATATTTGTGTGTATTTGGAATACAAACGAGTTGTTTTAATAACAAATGCTTAGCAACACTATGTATAAATTAAGAAATCCCTTAACAGATAAAAATACATAATGATTTTCCATCACTATCTTGCCTTTCATTCCTTTTCAGAAATCAGCAAGCAAGTTTACTTTCATTTCTGAAAGCTCTTTTGTCAGACATGTGACTGTGGTTTTTGCAGTGTAGCACAATGTTTGATTGAATGTCTGAGGAAAATCACCCAGATTAAGTTAGAAGGACTAGTTTGACAGAGTAATGACATTTACAGCCCTCTTGTTGGTTTGAAATATATAACTCAGCAGTCACTGGTACAAAACATTATTTTTTGGCTAAGTGGAATACATATAGCAGAGTGAGCCAAAAGTAAAACAATGTAGCCTATGATGATTTGAGGAGTAATAAAATATGCAAATTATTACATATCCAAATATGTCTAGATCCATGTGTTTCTACATTTAGATATCTAGATCCCCCCCCACACACAAGATCTTCAAAAGATTCATGGAAAATGTGTACTGTGTAAAAACTACATAAATTTCAAAATTTATAAACTTTTAATCATGTCTTTCCACGAACCTGAAATCCTCCCATATGTTGTATACAATATATATATACATATATATAAAAGATTGAAAACACTTACAAATATATAAGGGACCATTTTGAAAATAACACAGAAATAAGTGCACCTAAGAGTTGAAATCAGTTGTTTGGGGTTTCTCTTATGTTTTAAAAGTAGTTAAGCAGTTTTTTCCAGAGCAACAGAGTAACTTCTCTTTCAGTAAGATTGAGGAGATTTATTAACATATTTTCTGTTATTAATTAAAAATAATTATCATAGAAAGTACAATTCAAGCTTTAGTATTGTAAAAGTATGCCCGAGGTTGTATATAGAAGCTGAGAATGTTTATGTAAAAATTAGTATGAATATATAATATAGAAGTCATTGATAATTCCATTCATGAGTTTACAAAGATAAGAAAGCCGAATATGATGAACATGGATATTGCTGTTATGGTCTGATTCAAATGTATGGTGGTAATATTGTTGCAAAAAGCATACATTTCCGTATCATCTTCAGAGCTGTCTCCTCCTGCATTGCTGTACCGTGCAACATTGGCCTTTCCATTTTTTCCTCAGCTCCAACTGCTTGTCACATTTTTCTCTGTGCTTCCCAGGAATGCATGTGATTATGTTTGTGTGTATTTAAATAGCTTGTCCATTATGATTGAAATTCTTCCTACTTAAAATTCATAATAAATAAATTATAGTGTTTCTTTTACACCTTAGTAACTTCGGAAAAATCTGTGTGTTGTTAATATTACAGTGAATTGTTTTCTTTAGATATTTAATAATAGGAAGTTGAATTTCTTGGGCACAAATGATAAAAAGTTTTCAATGTTATATAAGATGTTATATTGTACTTTAGTTATTCTCAAGAGATAATCTCCCCAATATTGGCATTTTTTTTCAGCTGTTCTTACATTATTTGATACCTGTATATATTTTATAATTCTAAATTTGTTATACTGGTCACATATCTCTTTCAAGTTCACTATATCACATGTAAATCATAGAAAAATGTTTAAAATGTGTATGTATTTCTTAGATTCTCAGAGCTGTTTATTCAAAGCTGTAGAACAATAAAAAGTAATGAGAAGACAAACATTTTCCACAGTGAGTTTGGTCAAAAACATCTTTATAGAGAAAACAACCTAATGCCAGCCATGGTTTCCAACAAAAACTGCCATACCAAGTCCAGCTTCAGAACTTTTAAAAAAATGCAATTGTGTCATTTTGTTGTAGAAGCATGAAAGCTATCTTTAAACTTAAAACCGTATTTTCAACTACTTTTCTAAGCACATGAATCTAAGTCATGAATCATGACTAAATCTTCCAGATTCATTTAAAAACCATGACTATAAAAGAATGATCAGGAGATTGACTTGTTTTGAGACTATTTCATGTGGTCAAATATGTGGGTTTTTGGTGATCTATTACAGAATAACAAAATATATGAATTTCTCAAATAATTTTTTAAGATTTATTTTATTTATTTGAAAGACAGAGTTACAGAGAGAGGTAGAGTCAGAGAGAGAGAAGCGATCTTCCACCCGCTGGTTCACTCCCCAGATGGCCGCAACTGCCAGAGCTAAGGTGATCTGAAGCCAGGAACCAGGAACCAGGAGCTTCTCTCAAGGGTGTCCCATATGGATCGAAAGTGGAGCAGCTGGGACTTGAATTGGCACCCCTATGGGATGCCGGTGGTGCAAGCCAGGGCTTTAACTCGCTGCATAGCGCTGGCCCCCAATTTTTTTTTTAAGATATTTTTTCAACTACTGTTAATATAATTCTAGGCCATCCAACAGGGGCAAATAGTGAATAGTTAACCAAATGTAGTAAATGCAATTTAACAAAAGTAGGTGAACAAAAATGAGAAGGTGTAAATGTAATATTTGTTGTTTTATATATTTCAGATTCAGAACAATTTGTGGGCAGGAAATGCAAGTGGTGGTTCTGTGGTGACATCATGCATGTTGCCACGTGACACTTCCTCCTGTATGACACCTTATTCTCACTCGCCTCGGACAGATTCCAGTTACACAGGCTTTTCAAACCACCAGAATCAGTTCAGCCACGTGCCCCTCAACAACTTTTTCACTGACTCTCTTCTTACGGGGGCTACCAATGGACATGCATTTGAGACAAAGCCAGAGTTTGAAAGAAGGTCTTCCAGTATCGCAGTTCTTCGAATGAAAGCCAAGGAGCACACTGCCAATATTTCATGGGCCATGTAACATACAGTACTCTTTTATTTTTCTTTTAATAGCAAAGTAAAACATTCTTATTTCTCGTATTTAAAGGATACCACAATAAGCTGCTGTGTGTGGAATTGCTAAAGGTCAAGATATACAGTGAGACCAGCTTAAATGAATAGTTGTTATTATTTAACATTAAAATCTAAGAATGAACCTCTGAAAAGGCTAAATAGGTTTACCATGCACCAGTCTCCACAAACTCTGTTTTAGTAGTATGATTTTTTTTCTATTGTACAAGTCAATGAAATATGATCATGCAACTTCTTAAAAGAATAAATGTATTAAACAAATTCCTCTGTTATAGATTGATTTATGGTAGTTCTGTATAACAAGAAATCCCTTGTAAAATAATACCTGATAAAGGAGGAAATGCACTGGGAAAAAATGTCAAGATACCAAAGCTGTCAGGTAAATATTGAACCAGGGTGTTTTGGGGAGTTAACTGCCATTTCTCTCTCTCTGGCTCCAAGAAGCAATGGGCATATCCCCTGTTGCTGAGAATTTATCTTCAGGCCTCAAAGATTTTTTTTTTTTTAACCTCTAGATGTTTTAGTGAATTTCCAGTCTGTGAAGAAAGAACTCTTCTAAAATAACCTGCTTTGGCATAAAATATTTGGGCATAGTTTCCTGAAACCATGTGGCTAAAGGTGATAACTGAAATATTCCGGCATGATTTAAAAGATCATCATGAAAACAGTTTTTATAAATGCTGTCTTTTTAATGAAAAGGCCTGTGTGGACTCAATGACTTAATTGTCACAAACAAGAAAAAAAATACAAAGTGCCCTGTTACTTTTAACCAAAATAGCGTCAATTAAACTGTACACACAAACATCTAGTAACTGTACTAAAAGAAGCATTTTTCAGTTCAAGGAGCAGTGAATGGGGATTCCTATTTATTTCATGGGTATGCGCATGCTCACAAGCATTTGTGTTTGTTTCTTGACACATCATGCCTTAAGCAGTTGTTGCTTCTGTGGTTTTGCATAAAGAATTAAGATGTCAGAAAGCTCTCTCAAACTTCTGGTGGAAGAGAAGAAAAATACATTGCATCTGGAAAATTGCTAACCCCTGTGATTTACTTCTCCTCCCTTTCCCCTGTCACATTCCAAGCTTTTTCAGATGAGTGAAATGTCAACCTCCTTGAAAGACTCTTAAGTTCATAAAGGCAAAGTAAATTAATTGAAATGAAGATGACTTCCATGGCTCGGATCAGAGCAGGATTTGCTCTTTGTAGTCTCTTATTATATTCTTGTGGTTCGTGTAGACTTTAAGGATATGCTTGCAAACCCTAATGGCAAAAGGACAACAATAAATGAATATTTAAAATTAAATTTCAGGAAAAGTACTACATCCAGTTAAATGTCTTTTCTTAGTGGGAATATATTTATAGCAATTAGACATCTTTTGTAATAAAATTTTAAGTCAAGCAGATGATGAAGCTGAGTGATGTCCTAAACAAACATTCCCTGACTTCGTAATAACTTTGTTCTTTATTGCTTGTGTGTTCTCTCTTTTTAGCTTTGTTCCCAAGAAAAACTTGTTCAAATGTAGCCCTGAGAATTATGCTTGCGTGCAGGAGGAGCTTTTGTGAGAGGATTGTTTAGGCAGCTGTTAAACATCCTTCATGTTTGAGAAGAGAATGGCTGATTTTTAATATACTCATATATGTGGTTAATAGGAATTTGTGAACTAAAACTTAGTACTAAAATGTATGATTTTATTTTTAATAATTTCATAAATTAATAGTGCTCATTTTCATTTTCTTCTGCCTTCTTAATTTAAATTTTAGTGCTCCTGGGCTCATGTCTTGATCTTTCAACTAAGATACAAAACTTCTAAAGTTTGAATTTCACTTGATTCCTTGGTTTTCCCATTCTTTCTCCTCATTAAATTTAAAGGTTAGTTGGAGCTTCTGAAATTCAGTTTTCTTCAAGCCAAACAGTATTTTTCTAATTGAATATTTATATCTGCAATTCTCTGTAAAAGTATAATTCAATTAGCACATTTTTTAACGCTTCCAGTGTGTGAAGTGCTATTTGGGATAATAAAATAAATACTGGAACTATGGTTCTTGTCCTTTGTGAGTTTACGTCTTCCTGGATGACATATGCCTTACGTTCGTACTCTCAACTCTGCCTGATGTAGTGGCAATAAGAATTGCATGATGTTTTTGGTATTAACATTCAAAATTCTTTTTGTTGGCCAAATTTTTATGATATATGCAAGTTGCCAAAGTATAAGGAAATGTAATAGGATGAGAATAAAGCTAAGACGAAGAGTATATAGAGTATACTTCCTGATCTCTTTCTGAACTTAGGTTGAACAGTTTTATGTACTAGAATTCTGATGAATCACAAAACTGTTGAACTTACATTAGAGTACTTCAAAATGTTTACTTTTGTGCAAAACACTTTTAAAATAAATATATTTTTTATAATGTGCATTTTCCAAGAACATTTTAAAGACTTTATTTGCAAAAATTATTTTTAATTTTTGGCACCAAACTAAAAATTTTTTAATTTAATTTTTTCCATGAATTTTTTGAAGTATTCTTGTGCACTTAAGAGTAAAAAGAAAAAACTAAGGAATATTTTGTCTACCTTTAATGGGGCTTATTATTGAAAGGATCAATTATTGGGAGTTCTGGTGTGTGAAGTGTTTTCATTAACCTGGATGGACATTTGTCAGCATGACTGTACCTCACATTTGCTTTACACAAAAGGATTAAAACATGACCTTGTACATATCCCCCCAGACCTCCAGCAATGTAGTTAAGACTTGGAACTCACGATACAAAATGAATTTATAGGGGCCAGTGTTGTGTGATGGGTTAAGCTGCCACCTGCAATGCTGGCATCCAAAATGGATGCTCTGGCTGCTAATGCACCTGGGAAAGCAGCGGAAGATAGCCGAAGTGCCTGGGGCCTTAAGGCACCCATGTGGGAGAACCTGATGAAGCCCTTGGCTCCTGGCTTCAAGCCTGGCCCAGCCCTGGCCATTGAGGCCATTTGAGGAGTGAGCCAGTAGATAGAAGATTCTCTAACTCTGCCTTTCAAATAAAATTTTTAAAAATATGAATTTATAGGTGAATTTAGTTTGCAGTTCCTTGAAGCATAAAATGAAATTTCAGAAAATGATTTGTGGATTTTTTTTTGTACAAGATTTATTAAAGATCTTTATAAAGTAACATCCAGACTCCATACAGCTGCCAGGGAAACCCTGTTATGCTCTGGGGACTGGCTGGGGCATGGCAGGCGGCTCTGGCTTCCCACCCTTCTGCTCTGAGATGGGGGTGGTGGGCAGGATCTCATCTTTGGGTTCCACCATGCTCACGTGGTCGGGCAGGGGCTTCTTGGGGCCAATCTTACGACTTGGGTCCCAGGGCAGCATGAGCTTCACCTTGATGCCCAGCACACCCTGTCTGAGCAGCACATGGCGCACAGCGGTGTCAGAATAGTAGTTAACAGGGTCCCCACTGTGGATCACCAGGCCGCCCACAAACTTCATGGACTGAGCCCTCTGTCCTCGCAGCTTCCCAGACACCACAACCTCGCAGCCCTTAGCTCCGCTCTCCATGATGAACCGCAGCACACCATAGCAGGCCCTGCGTACAGCAAGCCCTCCTAGGAGTTGGTAACGCAGAGACTCTGCCTGGGCAATGGCACATAGGCCCCTCATGGCCACCTTTTCAGCGTAAAGCTCTACGCTGCCCTCTGGGAAGCCAAACCTCGTCTGAACCACGACAGTCAGTTCCCGGATTCGCCGGCCTTTCTCACCGAGCACATTCTGTGTCCTGGTGGCTAAAATAATGATTTCTGTCCTGGTTGGTGTAACTCGGACCTCAACTCCAGAGTAGCCATCTTCAGCCAGCTCCCGGGTGAGAAACTCGTTCAGCTCAGCTTTGAAGATGCCGTCAGCAACAAACTTCCTCTTCTTAGAATCTGCACCGCCATCTTGCCGCCGCGCGCAGCCGAAACGAAAGGTGATTTGTGGATTTTTGAAGAATGCTCATGTATCTCTCATGAATATTAGGCAATGCGTATTTTCTCCTTACATAATATCTTTTGAAAGCAGAACAACAAAACTACTTCAGTTTTTGCCCCGGGTCTGACAACATATCTCAAAAGAATAACAAAGTTACTTAACCTGTATAACCTTGAGGAAGCACAAGAGAACGAGTGCATAATTATGGGACTGTATTAGTTTCATTGTTTCCTACACCTGTTGATCCCTTTACCTTCAAGGAAGGGAGAAGCAGCAGATCACTACACTCAACACAGTACTTAAGAAGAGGATGTGCGATTGTTTCCTTTTCCTTTGCTTTCTCATCTTAGGTGCTAGGTGCTTATTCTTATTTCCATAATACAATTCACACCTCTCCTCCATGTGCTTTGTACAGTTGGTGTTATATAGAGAGCTATAGTTTCAGTTTGTCAACAACTAAATAATTCTTGGATAAAATAATAAGTGAAAAGATCTATTACTATGCGTGTATAAACTGTTTTAAAAATCTAAGAAAGCTTTTTATTTTTCTTCTGAGACTTGTATGTCACTATGCATATTATAAGTTAAAAGAAATATGTAAGTGACTTTACTTGAATACTTAATCATGGCACAATTTTATAGTAAGTATTTGACATTAGAACAAGGCTCATTACATCTTGAATTATTTAATGCATTTCTTAAAACTGTGTACTTGAAATATTACAAATCATACAAATAAAATTTCCTCTTACCTATTATGATATGTACTTTAAGATTCTAGAGAATTATCCAGAATATTTGCTAACATATTAGAAACATGACAGTTTTTCAGTAGAAAAAAGAGCCCGTTTTAGGTTACTTATACAGTCTAGTTGGTGAATCTGAAACGATTTAAATATTCATCTCCCCATCTCACTAGAGCACAGTTCACAATGTGATGGGAGTGGGTAGAGGAGGGTGCATGTCTGGATAGAATGCAGAGGTTCCACAATCTGAGATGAGAACACAATTATGCTTTAATTTTTTTCTAACCTGAAGAATGAAACTCAAGAGTTCCTTCCATTTGCGATTACGGACAATAAATCTCAACACAGTAGGTCATCTGTGTCAGAGTTCCATATTGCTGGATTTGACCAGCTATGGATCAAAAATATTTGAGCCAAAATTCATACTACACATGTACAGATTTATTTTTTCTTTCATTGTTCCCTGGACAATGCAATAGCCTCTATTTACAGAGTATTTACATTGCATTACGTATTGTAAGTAACCTTGACAGGGTTTAATGTGGGAGGTTGTGTTGTGTGTAAGTTATAACAGACACTGTGTCACTTTACATAGGGACATGAGCATCCGTGGTTCTTGGTATCAGCAGATTTTCTATTAAGATGGTGTCTAGAGACAATTCCCTGAGGCACCAAGAAGAATGTAGTAGTGGGATGGATGTGGATTTGTCCCCAATAGAAAGAGCAGAGATTTTCTTCTTACATTTACAAGTGTTATTATAAATATGTCAAAATCATAATTCAAATTTATCATTTCATCAGGGTAGTTTTTAATGTTGTTGCTGGATGTTACAGTTTATAAAGATGTGTTGATTTACTACATCCTAGATTTTTATTTTCTAAATATTTGGATGCCTGTATAATAATATAATTAGTTTCCCTCTTAAGTATATGCATTTTCTTTTATTTATCTCAAAACATTATCTGGGGCAACTGTTTGGCACAGTAGTTAAGACGCCACTTGGGATGCCCACAGGCCATATTGGAGTGCCTCATTTTGAGTCCCAGATCTGCTTCTGATTCCAGTGTCCTAAGGCACAGACTGGAAGGCAGTCAGTGATTGCTCAAGTACTTGCATCCCTGCCATTCTTGTGGGAGGCATGAATGGAGCTCTTGGCTCCTTGCTTTGGCCTGGCCCAGCTGTGGGTGATGCAAGTATTTGTGGGGGGAACCAGCAAATGGAGGTCTCTTTCTTCCTACCACTCTGTATCTTCCTGCCCTCTTTTCTCTGCCTCTCATATTTAATGAAAAAAAAAATTAAAAATGCATTATCTAAGAAGGGATTCATAAGTTTCACCGAACTTCCAGAGTGGTCCATGGCATTAAGAAATCCAGTATCAGGGGCCAGCAGCATGGCATACTGGGTAAAACTATTGTCTGCGATGCCTGTATCCGACGTGTGTTTCAGTTTGTGGTCCTGCTGCTCCGTTTCCAATCCAGCTCCCTGATAATGACATGGGAAAAGTAGCAGAAGGTGATCTAAGTGTTTGGGCACCTGAAACCCACATAAGAGACCTTGATGAAGCTCTGGGTGCCTGGCTTCCACCTGGCTCAGACATGGCCATTGTGAACCAGAGAATGGGGGACCTCTCTCTGTCTGAGTCTCTCTTTCTCTCTGTGACTCTGACTTTCAAATAAATAAATAAATAAATAATCTGACATGGTCACATCTCCAAATTAAATATTTCTCACTGTAGAAGATCATTAAATATTATGGAATGAGTAAGATTCATTTATCATATTATCTCTCCCTAGCAAAATATAAGTTTAAACAGAACCAGACTTTTCAAAATGCAGCAAACTTGACTTTTTTTTCATTTGAGTGAGTGGTAGTGATGACACCCGAGTAGCAAGACTACCCTTGGTTGAGGTGGGGCATTCAAGAATAGGGCAGGTAGTCTGGTCAGCACCATGAAAGGAGCGTGGCTTTAGAAATTCTACTTCTAGGGGCCAGTGCTGTGGCACAGCAGGTTAGGCTGCCACCTGCAGCAGCAGCAGCCCATATGGGTGCCAGTTCCAGTCCTGACTGCTCCACTTAGGATCCAGCTCCCTGCTAATGTGCCTAGGAAAGCAGTGGAAGATGGCACAAGTGCTTGGGCCCCTACACCCATGTAGGAGACCTGGAAGAAGCTCCTGGCTCTTGGCTTTGGCCTGGCCCAGTCCTGGCTATTGCTGCCACTTGGACTGAATCAGTGAATAGAAGATCTTTCTGTCTCTTCTTCCATCTCTCTGCTACTCTGCCTTTCAAATAAATAAATAAATAAAAGAAATCATAAAAAATTATACTTCCACAGCTTTTTAGCTGTAAAGCTTGAGGTGAATCATCAGTAATTGAAAAAACCACATGAGATTTTAAATTAATAGAGTGCATTCATACTTACTTTTTAATTTGACTCTCACTTTTTTTTATGATCATGAGTTTATAGCCTCTGCTTTTTGCAGGTGAGAGCACTTAGGGTCAGAGGTAAAAGGAGCTTCAAAGTCCAAATCCTATTCCTGAACTGTCTTATTATTAAGACCTTTGAAAAACTAACATGCTGGTTGGGGGAGGAAAGAAAACAGTAATTGCTATATCATATAGAAGCGTTGGGAGAGGAGTGCTATTGGAGAACAGGTAAGACCAATTAATTCCACTGTTGGTAGGTCATGGAAGGCTACAGAAAAGGGATTGTATCTGAATCAGAATGGAGCGATGAGTAGGAGCTTATAGAAATTGCATTTTATATCTTTTTTTGGGAAGAGAACTCAAATAAGTTTTTAAAAATTTATGTGTATGGTACTTAAAATATTTATAATCTCTAATTCATGTATTTGCATCATGCTACAAATGTCTCTAATTTTAAATATTTAGTTTATTATCATGTTTATTAACTGGATCAAAGTCCTTAGCTTCAGCATAAAAATAATTTATTTTATTCAATAATGACTTTCAAGTCTTCTATTATCAAGTAATGCAACAAAAACCTGCTAAACTCAAAATATTACAATGTGCTATGCTAGCCATGGAAGTTATTGATAAATTCAGATCATGTCCTTTGTTTTCAAGGACTATTCAGTGTACTCGGATGGGTGATATTTACTGAAATTTTCCTGATATGGATTAACAATGCATTTTAAAATTAAAGCTATAAGTAAATATGTAACAGGAAAATTTGAAAAACTGTAAATGCACTTTCCAAATATACATCTACAGAAGCTGATGGAAAAGTTCAGAAAGAACATGATTTCACCCTGGTATACCCCTTGATCTCTGACCGACAAGAAGAGAGAGAAGATTCTGAGGTCATTACAGAAAAAATACTCCCTACGCCATGAAAGAGAAAAGACAAAGAAGCAGCTGGGGGTTGCCTTTCCTACTTTAATTGAACTCTTTCCTTGCCTCAGTTTGGCTAACGTGTGTCTCACTGTAAATAGAACAGCGGCCAGAATTTCATAAACAGAGGTTTAACAGAAGAACTGCTCCCTCATTTCTAGATCCCTGTATCTCTAGCTGTGAAATCGATTTATGTTTTTAAAGGCTCTATGGGGCTTCCTCTTGTAGATATGGTTTCTGGTTCAAAGATTTAAAACATGTCAAGAAAAAAATTATTCTTGGAAATACCTTAGACCAAATGTTAATAACCTAGGTAGAAAGCTAAATGCTATTAGGAGGCAAAATCCTAAACTGAGGCAATGTATTCAGGGTGCAAACAAATGACAGGAGGGACTTGCTAGGCTCATGTAGTTGTGGGACTCAGTGTAGCATCTGTATCTGCGTGAAGATTTCTTAGATGAAGAATTCTTCAGGTTGCATTTCCATTGGTTTGGCGAAGTTCGCTGTTTGGCAGAACAGAATCAAGATTCTCATCCCAGATGTGTCACTGAATATCAGTCCCATCTCACTTCTCAGTTTTCAGAGTTCAATTCAATTCAGCAAATATTTATTGAGTGCTATGGCTGCCGACTTTTCTAAATCAGAGAGGAATAATGAGATGTTAGTACAATATGACATGCCTTGAGTAAAAAAGGTATGCACACAGAAAGTTATTATCATTGCTACCATTTTAAATG